CATCTTCGTCTAATGGCAGCGACGAAGATGAAATAACAGCATGACGGCATTAAATCAGCATGTTTTCGTTCACGAACTCTGAAAAGGTGTTGCTCGGACGGCATTACAGCACTGCCCCCCTTTTCGCGGGGGTGGACCAAATAGGTTTGCAAATAAACCTGATTTTAGCATTCAAATTAAGTTACATTTGGAACTTAAATCATCATATCAGGAAGTTTATAAAAGGGTCAAGCAAGGGCACGAAAACGGGGTGCAGGACTGAAAGCAGCTGAGCATTTTGCTCTCATTGAATAAAACAGAACCCATTAAGGGAAGATTTGTTAAGTCAGAACACCTATTTTTCACTCGAATGGACCCAGTTCTTTTCACCGTCATGTCGCGAGTCGACGGGGAAGAACTAAGTCTTCGTGATGGGTGCGCGGGTGGCGCGTACCACGGGGACTTAGCCCCTGAGAGTCTTCGCACTCTCGAATCGGCGAAGAGCAGCGGCGGGTTGCTCGTAGTACACGGATGTGTACGGGGATACGATCATCCATTTCGAATCTTGATCGATTCTGGGGCGTCGAAGAATTTCGCACGCCGCCAGACGGCTGCTCGCAACAGCAACAAGTTGCCCGATGATTTGAGAGAATGCAAGGGCAACGGGACGGTGTCAGTGCGACTGGCCGACGGGAAGGTCGTCACTGTCCTCAACGTCCAAGTGGATCTGGCCGTCAAGTTTGAAGACTTTGACAGCCTCGAACAGCTCACTGTTCTCGATATGGATCCATATGATATGATCCTGGGCATGCCCTGGCTTGAGAATCACGAGCCCTGGTTTGACTGGCGAGGCAAGGCAATCGGTGCCAGCCGCCCTGCGCAGTCCGACAGAGCGTTGGTGAGTCATGTTCCCACCTCTGTCAGGACCCGGGGCGCCCGCAAGGGCTACCAGGGTACCAAAGCATCCGGCAGATGCTTGGGAGTCGTCGACGTATATGACGACTCCGAGGATGTTTTGATGGTGGCGGCGCCCAGAAGAGGCGCTGACCAGGTGGGTAACTTAGGTCCACAGGCGGGTAACTTAGTTTCGCGACAGCTGCAGCTGTCACGAACACTGAGAACAGCGTGTTCAGAGTGGGTAACACAGTGCCACACGCGGTCGCCCAGACCTTAACTGAAGAGGAAGACGTCGGATACGCTTCCTGTGTGGGTAGCACAGTGCCACACGAGGCCACGAGTGCCTCGGATGCCGTAGCGCCGACATCCCTAGACGTGGGCAGCAAAGCTCCACGTCACGGTCGCCGTCGTCAACGACGCCGCCGCCGCCTCAAGTCGGATCCGAACTTCGTTCAGATCGACGTCGCTTCAAGCGACTCGGAGTCCAGGGCTCGGGCTCCTTTGACAAGGCCGGTGGAAGCGTGCTATCACATCTTCGATGGCGAGACCGGTGTACCCGTCAAGGCATCTGGTGTCCACTTGGAACCGTTGCCAGAGGTGGCAGAGATACTGAACCTCGAGGAAATGACGGCTGATTCTTTTCTAACCAACCCAAAGCTGGAGAGATTGCTGAGATGGTGCTCATGAAACCTGAGATCACTCGAGAGGAGCTGAACTCCTCCTCGGTCTTGGACGAGAACGTCCTGGAAGACCTAAACAAGCAGCGTCAGACGCGCTTGGGTTCTGAGATCTTTAAGAACCCCAAGGAGCCAGTGTATCCTTTGGTGACGGAGTATGCGGACGTCGTGAACAAACACCCACCGACCCAACTCCCACCGGATCGAGTCGTACGGCACAAAGTATTGTGTCACGAGGCAATGGCCTCTCCCGCGCGAACAGTGCGAGGTCATTGGTGCCTTCTTCGCCGCGAAAGCGAAGGCAGGCATGGTGCGGGAGTCGAAATCCCCGCACTCGACGCTGCCTTTCTGCGTTCGGAAGCCGAACGGAAAGTGGCGTCTGGCTCACGCTTATAACAAGTTGAACAGCGCAACGGTGCCAACCCAAACTCTAATCCCACGAAAGGATGTGTTGTTAAACAGCATGACCGGGAGCGTACTGTACAGTGCGCTGGATTTGGTAGACAGATACTACCAGATCCTAATGCGGGAGAGTGACATCCCGCTCACCGCGGTAAGCACTCCAAGCGGCATGCTTTGGGAGTGGCTCGTCATGCCGCAGGGCTTGTCTAACGCCCCGGCAACGTTCAATCACCTGGTGACGCAGCTGTTCCGCCCTTTGCGTACCTTCGTACAGACGTACTTCGACGACATATTCGTCCATAGCCGTACCGAGGGAGGCAAGACGGCCACGGAGGTGCATCTAGGACACCTTTGTCGAGTGAAGGACGTAATGCTAGCGAACAAGCTCTACGCCAACATCGACAAGTGCGTTTTCGCGTCACCAGAGATTAAAGTTCTCGGTTGCTTCGTAAGCAACGTGGGCGTTCGGGCTGACCCAGACAAGGTCAAGGCCATAGCAGCATGGCCGACGCCCCGATCCCTGAAGGATCTTCGAAAGTGGTTGGGCTTGGCCAACTGCCTTCACAAGTACAGCGCAGGGTACACGGGCTTCACTAAGCCCTTGTCGAGCCTCCTTCAGAAGGACGTCGACTGGCGCTGAAAGCAAGAGCACCAGGATGTTTTTGACAGCATCAAGGCCAGTCTCCAAGAGGCCCCTGTCCTGGCCCTGCCGGACGAGACGAAGCCGTTTAGCGTCGTCTGCGATGCCTCCGATTACGCCATCGGATGTGCATTGCTGTAGACCGATACGGCTGGACACGAACGAGTCATTCGTTCCAGTCCAGGCAGCTCAAAGCCGCCGAGCGGAACTACCCTGTCCACGACAAGGAGCTCCTGGCAATGAATTATGCCCTTGTGAAGTATCGTGTTCACCTTCTGGGCTCTAGGCCCTTTGTGATCTACACAGACCACGCGTCCTTGAGGACGGCGACCAATTCGCCTCACCTCTCCCAAAGGACGGCGATGTGGCTGTCCTTCTTCGCGGAGTACAACTTCCGCGTCGAGTACAAGCCGGGCAAGCTCAACGTGCTTGCGGACGCCCTCTCTCGGCGTCCTGACTATGAGTTGGCCCACATCACGCGGGTGACAACGGATCTATATGATCGGATACGCATGGCGCATCGGGGCGATGAGGTTGTCGCGCCTATCGTCAAGTTCCTTAAGGCCGGAACGAGCGCGAAGTCCGACTGGCTCTCGTCGCGACAGCGCTCACGGATCCACCGATATGAGTTGAAGGAGGGCCTCCTCTATTATCGGGTGGAGCCCACTGATCCTCCACGGGTGGTCGTACCCAACGACGAGGATCTGAAGTTCGACATCCTCGCGGAGGCGCATGACGCGCCCTCCAGCGGCCACTTGGGCCGCGAGAAGACCTTTCTGTCGGTCTCTCAGTCCTTCTGGTGGACCCACATGTACAAGTGGGTCGCCCGGTACGTTAATACATGCGAAATATGTCAGCGGGTCGAACCCGCAGGACACTCTTCGGCTCCACTACAGAGCATGCCCGTATCGGCTGACTGTTGGCAGTCATTGAGTCTTGACTTCATCTTTGGGCTTCCCGCCGACGGACACGGCAACACCGGGATTTTGGTGTTCGTGTGTCGGCTGAGCAAGCTGGTACATTTTGCTCCGGTTCTCGTCATTGTTACGGGCGAACAAACCGCAAGGTCGTTCGTCGATGGCGTGTTCCGCTATAACGGACTCCCGGAGACGATTGTTTCGGACCGAGACTCGCGGCTCACGGCTGTGTTTAAAAAAGGCTGTTTCCTTTGCTGGGAACTCGTCTGCAGATGTCCAGAACGGACCATCCGCAGACAGACGGTCAGAGCGCGTTAATAGAGTGCTCGAGGACACTCTGCGCAGTGTGTGCGCGGCAGCACCACGTACGTGGTCAACGCAGCTTCCAGTTGTTGAATTTGCGCTTAAGAACGCGGTGCACGCGTCCACAGGGTTCACGCCGTTCTACTTGAAACGGCTTCCGTCACCCCAGAGTGCCTCTCACTCTTCGAGGAGACACTGACTCCTCTATTCTAAGT